GAGAAGTGGCAGTGAATGGGCGCACAGAGCACAGTGACTGCTGGGCGGGAGTGCGGGGCCCACGCAGTGTGCCAGGGCCAGCACCAGCGGGGCTCAGAATGGGGCAGCAGGGCTCTGTGGAGCCAGGCCAAGCTGTGCCAGCAGAGAGGGGGGGAAGCTGGCCCATCTCCATCGAGCCCTGCCACCCTGGCCCCATGCTCCTGCTGCCCCGCTGTGGGCCCTGCTGGCCCTAGCCCCGGCACACTAGCGTGGACTCGATGCTCCTGCCTGGCTGTCACTGAGCTCTGCGTGCCCGCTCACTGCTCCATCCCCCTGCCAGCCATTCTGGTACCACCATTGGTCTCTTCTAGTTTCACTTCTTTGCTGTGCCTCTCCAGGCGGGTGCGCAACATTAATAAGTTTGTGTGTGGCATGATTTTAAAGTGTGTGCACGTGACTCCCAGTTGCAGCACCAGGACCACAGCAGCCAGCTTAGCCCAGCCCTGAGGACTGGGGTGATTGCCCGCAGTCCTCCCCTGCCTCCCCCATCTCCCCTTCTTATCTGAATTTCCCTCCTGCACAGGGAGTCAGGACAGCCCCAGGGTCTAAGGCCAGAAGCCTCTACTCCACACGGGACTTCTAGCAGGAGGTGAAGGGGGCGAGGCCGCCAGGCCTTGCTTCTGCAGCCACTTCATTTTCTAAAATTTTTAGGGGCCAGATAGGATAGCCAGGTGGGCCAGATCTGGCCCGTGGGCCATATTTTGCCTGCTCCTGCTTTATCTCCTTTCTATGTATAGGACCTCTGTTGCATTTCTGATTTCCGTGCTAAAAAAATTTCAGTTCCGCTCATTGATCTGGCTACCACCCAGATTTCTACATGAAACACACGGACTAAAGTAACACTGTACTACATGTGTGTGCCCAAGCACTGGGGTGCACAAGGTGACGATCTGATTCAAATTGTTATTTTGATGCAAAAGTCACGTTGCATTGGAAGGATATGCCTCTTTAGTTTCATTTTTATTTCTCTGGATTTATAAACACGAAGAACAAAACTGAGAAGCATGCAGATCACTAGTGATTGTCATGTATAGTCCTACTGACTCTATAGGTTTGAGTAAGGGATTTTCAATCTGGCTCTAAAAAGCATACATGTTCTCAGTGCCCATGGCATACCAGTAACTTTAAAATATACAGATCAAGAAAAAACACCAGCATAAATGAACTGAAGAGACACCTGACATTATGAACCTTAGTGAGCAGGCCAAGCAAATTAAAAGCTAAAATTACTTTTCCAACACAAGTCTTGGCAGTCTCCCTAGTTTTTAGCCATCTGTTGCAGGAGAAGATATGCTTATCAGCGTGTACTGAAGGTCAGGAGATTCAGGCTATTTAAGACTAAAGTGAGAAGCTAATCCCAAAGCTGCAGTGGCCTCCACAGGGAATGGCTTTCCAGCAGCCTATCTTCATGCTCATGATACAAAGTGAACAGAAATCTTTTCTGTAATGTCAATGGACTTTGGACCAGGTTCTATATATAAACAGAGCTCCAGCATAACTATTTCTACTAACCTCAAATGTGTCGGTACAGTATAGAGAAAGATTTTATGGTCTTGCTTTGTTATGATTTCTTCTACTAGCTTCCCCTTGAGTGCTACAGAAGTTTATGGCCATTTTACAGATGGGTAAACTGATCTATTGAGAAAGTCATGATCACATAGGAATGCCAGACCCCGAATGAAATCCAGGAAAGAGAGATTCCTTCCCCACTGTTGCACACACTTTCCTAGATTTTATTACTGCTATACTGTGATCACAGACCAACCAGGCCTACAGCATATGCCTACTCTCCTGCAATACCTGCAGTCTGATTTATCCACAATGTCACTGAGTGCTTTAACTTTCATAGGAGATTATTGTTGTAGAAATATGGCTTGCATATGTTCATGCTGGAAAGCTGTTTTTCTTCACATCAGGGGCTCTTGCTTTTTTTGAGTGTGTGAATCAAGAAGACTAAGTACAGTTCAGGTTCCAAATATCCTGAAAATGTGCCTATTTGGCCTGCAGGGCAAAATCTCTAACTGCTGATTCTGAAGTCAATGGACTTACACCACTGATGCACTGGGCTCACAGCAGGCAACATCCCTGTGCACATTTGAGTATGAAGCAGAGCAAAAGGAGAAAATCCTTTTCCAGATAGTTCTATGAAGCAGTTTCTGAGGCAATCGGCCCTGCTGTACCCACTGCCCTTCCAAGCTCACCCTTCCTCTCACTCTCTCTCCTCTCACTCTCTCATTCATCCATTTGGGGTTGGTTTTTGTTGTCGTTGTTGCTGTTGTTCTTTGCCCCTTCCAGATATTAGGCATCAGTAAATGTAGGATTAAGTTACTTTATGCAGTGCCTACCCCCTGGTGCTGGCAGGGGTGTGCTCACAAGCCTAGCAAGCTTCTTGCTGCTCCAATGAATACGTGGAGGAGAAAGTGCTGCTGCATAGGAACATGATCTCAATAAATTTCATAGAGGAAAGAGCATGCAAACTGTCAGTGCTTTCCCCTCAGGGGCAGCCATTGCATACAGTGCTTTTAACCCTCAAAGTCATTTTATAGCCGTGTTGATGTCTCATCTCCATTACCCCTAAAGGGTCGTTTTATTCTTAAAAAAAGAAAAAATTGAGAGAGAGAGGGATTCTGGATCTGATGCAGGGATTCTGGATCCAGTGCTGGGATCAGCTGGCTAGTCAAATCCCATTTCCAGTCAATTCCCATTTTGCCACAGGTTTCTGATACAAAAAGCAGGTGCAAAATAGTGTGATTAAGTTCTCTGACATTTGTGCTGACTCCATACCATGTTCACCCTGGAGTGCACTCATGCATCTGTTAGACGTCTGTGGCGCACACTTTCCTAAACCGATGCTGAAGCCTTTCTGTGAACTGAGCTTCAGTGGGAACTGCGCATTTGGAGTTGGACCACTAATTGCAATGTCAATCTCCAAGTAGCAGGGCTGGGCTGTAGGCACATGCTGGGATGAAGGAAGTGGAGAGAAGGTAGATATTTTCTGTTCTTTGGCCCAAAGAATCACTCTGTGGAGACCTTTGGCTGTTGTAGTGACTGTATGCTTTAGTCAGCTCTGTCCATAAGAAGACAGGGTGATCCAGGCCCTGACAGAGCTTATCCTGCTAGCTGTACTTCACCCTTTTCTGGGCCTTCTCTGCACCCCATCCCCACCCACACCTAATATACCATTGCTAGACAAAATTCCCTGATTTTGTTATCAAAAGCCGAACTATCAGGGTCTGCACCCTTGGTAGCAGTGGCAGGAGGATGGCGGCAGGGGCCAGGCTGGCTGCAGCAGTGCTGCCATTCATATGCCGCATTCAAGAGGGCTCCTGGGGCCGGTTTTCTGGTTGCCCACCCCTCATTATACTACTGCTCACCATGACCGCAACACATACCTGAGCACTGTTCTGTCTGGGTCCACAGTAGTAGAGAGATGGATAAAGAATATAAAACATCTCATTTGTACCAAGTTTTCCAGATGGCACTTTAGCAGCATGCAGTACAAGAGGTAGGAGGTAGCTTCTACCAGTATTGCATCTTTCATTATTCCCTCCTCCTTTGGGACTAGGGACAGACATTCAAAAAGCCTGAGCCTGAATTGATTCAACCTTTGCAGGTTAGTCTCACCTGGCTAGGCTGAACTGGTTTGTAACCATACAGACTTTCCCTCTGGACTAAGCAAATGCAGGCACATGTCAGAAGCCAGGGGGCAATAGAACAACCCCCATTCCCTTTCATAGTGTTGAGCTGAAGTGGGGCATGGCCAGGCCCTGGCAGGATGCTCTGATTAGGGAGGGGTTCCCCTCCCTCTTGCTGCTCCTGACCAGGGAAGGAGCCAGCAGGGAGTTACACAACATTTAGTTACACAGCAGGGAGTCACGGGGGGGAGGGAGTAACACAGCATTTAACACCCCATCAACAAAACAAATGCCTCTCTCATTAGTTCAAGCTCTTCTTAAACAGCTTTTTCCAAGGAAGGAAAGGAGGGATATTACCAACCTGTCAATTAGCTCCAAAAAGCCCTAAGCAGACACTGTCCTGTCTGCCTATGTCCTGTCTGCCTTATACAGACACCTCTCGGTGTTAGCTAGCATACCGTATGCTGGCTACGTCCCTGCAGTGGGAGAGGGGAGGGGGAATCCCTGCTTGAGCAGGGAGTGGGGGGGAGGGGCAGGGAGAAGCCAAGCAGAGGGGCACAGCCAGCCCTGCTCTGCAGCAGACAGCTCCACCCAGGGCTGCAAAGCATCTGGGATGCTGGGGGACTCTGATTTAAGTTAAGCCAGGAAGGGAGCTGGGACAGACATTGCATAAACCGGTTTAAGCCATATCAGTTAAGCTGAATACTACATTCAACCAAGTTGATCTCAAACCAGTTTCAGCCATTTTCAAACTGGTTTATGTGCAGTGAACATCTGTTCTGTTACAGACTTAAACTAGTTTCTGATCATTTAAACCAGTTTATGTGTAATGTCTGTCCCTAGCCTAAGGGATCACAAGGCATGTGAGAAAACAGAAGTGAAATTGAACTGAAATTGAATTGAAAGTGTTTTCATTGGATTATATGCTCAATTGGATTATATGTATACAAATCACACTCAAAGCTGTTGTCTCTTATTCTTTGTTATTCCCCTCTTTCATTATTTTCTCCTGTTCTTTATTTTCAGTACTTCTTTAGAAGCATTTTTCTTTACTTCATATATTTGGTCTTTGTTTGTCTCTCTTTCCTTTTGTTCTTTCTCTGAAACTTGTCTATTTAATATTTCTTTCCCACTGCTTTTTGATGTTTGTTCCTTTGTTTTAATTTACCCATCCTGATTTGCTACTTTTTGGCTTCCATGTGTAGTTTTTTAATTGATTATTGACTTTATTATTTGTAGCACAGTAGCTACCAGGACTATCTTGCATTAGTAACAAAGCAGATTTAAAACAAAAATATACATTTCCACTGCATTTTTTTATACTACCTGATTTATTTACTAGCCTGTTTCCCTTCGCAGTTGAGATGCGTCCTGGTGGACTCAAATCCACTAGTGGATCCATATTACAGGAAGTTCACAGAAGCTCTCAAAATCTTTGCTTTCATCAGGGCTTCATCAGGTAAGATGATCTGAACAGTTGTGCAAAGTATGAAGCATCTTCAAATCTCAAAGTCTGTAACACAAATGAGGATTTCTATTACTCCTACACTTATGCTCACCGTGTTGCAATATCAAGCTGTAAAGGCAAAAATGTATTAATAGTTTTGGGTGATGAATTCAGCAAGCTAGATCAGGCCTTCATTGGCTTCTGCAGACTTGACTACTCAGTACAAATGTCAAATTTACAGGAGCCATTTTTTCCTGCATCAAGATGCAGTGTGTGTTGATACACAGAGAGGAAACTTCTGTAAATAAATGACCCTTCATAGAGCAGCCTGTAGCTGGTCTAATGGATCACTGGTAGGCCTTGAATTTTCTTAGCCATTCGTTTCACCCCTGCTTAAGAATTCATGGCTGATAGAAGGACCAAACTAGAAAAAAACAAACACATCCATTCCTCAGGGGCTTTCATCTTTTTCAGGCCTTCTCCAACTGCTGTTGAGTTTTTGTTTCTTAGTTTGTTTGAAAATATTGAATCTTTGAGCTTAAGGGTTTTTTTTCACAATACTTCCTGGCCATGTTTCAGTTAGGGAAGACTTATATAAACAACACAAAGCAAATGTTTGCCATTACTTTCCAATCAACATGAGGGGAAATGGAGCAAATATTTGGTGCACAGAGCCTACCTTCTGGAGAGATGCCTACGTGACCTTATGCAGTGCTGTGCCAGCAGACCTAATTGAGGTCTAAGGCCAGGTACAGGCATTACACTTTTACTGGTAATTTTTACTTTTACTGGCTCAGAAACCAGTCTATACCCGTAGCAGAACAGAATTTTGGCACACGTTGACTTGTTTAAAAATGGCAAAACTCAATTTAAGAGTTGCCTGCCCCTTCAACCCCTCACCAAAGGGCGAATGTGTGTTCTGTTCACTACTGATCGAAATTACACCATTTACAGAAAGCCACATAACTTAGATTGATTCCACCTCAGGCTTTTTGAATGTCTGTACCTACCTTAAATGATCTAGTTCAGGTACTGGGAACATGGTTTGCTGTGCAGGGCTAACTGGCTGACATCATGCTAACGCAGCTATTTTATGCCATGTCATTTTGACTCCAAATGTGCCTCTCATGCAACTGTCACATCATCCCACTGAAAACTGCCTAAAAAGGCTCAGCAGATTCAACCACTACCACTGGCCCATGGAATTATGGCTGAACAGAAGCAAAGGCTCCAAGAGGACCTCAAAAGGGATATGTCTGCACGCCTCCCCTAGACACACCCAATAGTATCAGACTCTTGCAATACCAATGTTGATAATGCTATTGCAACCCAGACTCCAGACACCAAGGACTTACGCAAGGCTGGGCTGCCACAGCTAAACTGCTGCAAAATTTGAGTTTGTTATTGTGTGAAGCCACAAGTTCAACCACCCTTTTGGTATGCAGGTTATGACTAAACTGCCATATAAAAAAATTGGCATTGCTCTTTGTGGTTGAAAAGAATTCTGAACATTTAACAAAAAGGAGGAAAAAGAGAGAAGCGCGGAATTATAAAAGCCAACCTTCTGAACATTATTTAGCATTGACACATGCTTCTCAGATGAGCAGACATCCACATGCCATGTACTCTGTATCTGTAAATAAATCAGCGGTTAGGAGATAATACAACATTAAAGAGAGGTAGTTGGCTGCATTAGCCTGACGTCAGGAAGAAAGCTGGGTAGATTTGCACCTGGCGAACTAACTAAATCAAGAGCTACATAAGCTTTCATAAGCTGCAGCTTACTTTATCGGATGCAGAGAAGGGACTACAGATGAGGCAGCATAGGTCCTGAGCTTTACAGATTGGCAGAACGTGTTGTGCACTCTGCAAAGTGCTTCTTCTAGCAGCTCTTTACATCAGCTCTGAAAAGTGAGTGGAAAAAGTGCAATGGGATGTGAAAAGCTCTTCTTCTGAAGTGCCCTGCTCTCCAGACCAATGGAATGCCAATTTCTGTCAGCCCTCACACGAGTGCAATGAAAGGAAAGAGATGCTTCCCTTACCCTGTTGTATGGTCTGTGCAAGAGCCATGCAGAATTCTGTTCACTACACTGCTTGTGTACAGGTAAAGGCCCAGCCACTTAGTTGGGAGTATAGTGAAGTCCAAAGCAATGTGTGCACTTCCCCTATGGAGCGTGGAAGCCTGGGTACATTGCCTTGGGGGGAGGGGGCAACTTTACACTATTTACTGCAAGCTGAGTGCAAATTGCTCAGTCTATGCCAGAGGTAGCCAACCTGCAGCACGTGTGTTATAAGGGGCAAAGGAAGCCATTTTGTGGAACATGGCAAACTGGGGAGGAGACAGGCAGCACATTGGCACATAAGAGAGGATGCAGAAAGCAGAGCTGCAGATGGGCAGGGAGCAGAAAGCAGAGCAGCCAATCTAGTAGGAGAGGAGAATTAGACTGGCACTTAGGTGCTAGGGACAGACATTCAAAAAGCCTAAGCCTGAATTGATTCAATCTTTGCAGTTAGTCTAACCTGCAAAACTTGAACCGATTTGGAGGGGGATACACATTCCCTTTTCATTCCAGAAATGCAGGCACATGCCTGCAGTGGCTCAGGCTAGAAGCTGGGGACCGCTAGAGCAGCCCTCCCTTCCCTTCCATATTGCTGAGCTGATGGGGGTGAGGCCAAGCCCCGGCAGGACACTCTGATTAGGGAGGGATGTAAACCCCCCACCCTGCCTGCACTGTCTCATGCTTTTCTCCGCTGGCTGCTCAAGGGGCAGGAGTATTGCCAGACCCCAGCCCTGTGCTAGCACTCTGAGGCAAAGCAGGGGTGTGCAGTGCATGCATCTGTTGGTGATACTGAAGTTTTCAACCTCCCTCTCCATGTCTACAGACCTGTCTGCAAACCTAACAGGGCTGTAAACCCACCAAGGGGATGATAAAACCACAGTGTTACCAACCCTTTAGCAAAACAAAAGCCTCTCTCATTAGTACAAGCTCTTCTTAAACAGCTTTTTCCAAGGAAGAAATGGAGGGACATTTCCAGCTGACCTGTTGATTAGCTCGAAAAAGCCCTAAGTAGACACTGTTCTGTCTGCCTGTCCCAGTGAAATTGGAGACACAGACATGGACACCTCTTAGCATTAGCTAACACAGCACACATGGGCGACTGGTGCCTCCTGAGTCAGGGGGGCACTTGCTCCCCCAGCGGCCAGTCACCCCCGTGCACCCCCTATGCATTGCCACTGATAGCACATGTCATGGGTCCATGGGGCTGTGCTGTGGGAGATTGGAGGGTGGAAGGGGGGCGGGGAATCCCTGTTTGAGCAGTGTGCAGTGAGGAAAGCTGGGCAGACCCTGCTGTGCCTGCAGTCTCCCCCAGAGCTCTGGTTAGGGAGGAGAGGGGTGGGGACAGCCTATTTTCTGAAGCAGAACACAGCCTAGCCCAGCCCAGCCCAGCAAAGCATCTGAGATGCTGGGGGACTCTGGTTTAACTTAAACCAGGAAAGGGTCTGGGATAGACATTGCATAAACTGATTTGACCCAAATCAGTTAAGTCTGATACTACATTCAACCAGGTTTATCTTAAACCAGTTTCAACTATTTTGTAACTGGTTTATGTGCACTGAACTTATGTTCTGTTACAGGTTTAAACCAGTTTCTGATCACTTAAACCAGTTTATGTGTAATGTCTGTCCCTAGCCAGGGAGGGTGTGGGGCTCATTTGTGGCATGCCTGCTAAAAAGGTTGGCCTCCACCGGCCTATGCCATAAAGACAGACAAAGGAAACAAACATACAGCACATTATTGCAGCCACCGCATAATAAGAAACCTCTTGTGTCCCGGTCGTCATTTTAGCTTTAGCAGAAGTAGTATGAATTCTATTTGTAGTAATAGTACTCGCATGCCTTACAGTCATGCCTCCAAGATTTCAACTCAGATCTAGGTTGCAACACACTAGGCACTGATCTAGTTAAGTTTCCTTGAACTGCCTAAATATTTTTAAACATCTGAACACCTACTGAACTACACTGTATCTGTTTGATATGTTTTCCAGTAAGAAAGAATAGAAATCAGAGTGGATAGCCATATGCAGAACATTAATTCAAAAGATAATGGGAACAACTTTGCAAGGGGGAAATTCAATTCACCTTAACAACAAGGAAGCTGTTTTTTAGCAGTGACACCTGAAGCGCCCAATACTCCACTCCTGCAGAATTAACTTCTGCATACAATGGCCATGATGTTTTGTCAGGAAATGAAGAAAACAAAGATTTTTGAGGGAGATTGGCCAACAAGTTACTTAGCCTTGTCCCCCAGGAGGATTTGTATCTCATCAGTGATCACAATGCCACTGACTCAGTGTTCCTGTTAAAACCAGTAAATCACCATAGTGATAAGGTATCTTAGGGAGGGGGGAAACAGTCCCTTTTTGTCAAAGGTGACCCACCACATAGTTCTATTTACGCTATAGCTTGCATTACGCCTAGAGGACACAGAACAAAGCACAGCCTGATATTATCTCCTTTGGTTTCATAATTTCCATGGAAACCTTTTTTCTTTTTTTTTTTTCTTTTTTTTTAGTTACCTATGATGAAAGAACCAAAGAGGGGAAAAGCATGCACTTGAAAGCACTTTCACTTTGTATTTCTAATGTTCCTGTTTGCTGCCCACCCGGGAGTTATATCCTTGTTATACTTCATGGCAAGTATCCAAAAAATGTTTATCTTCCCACAAAAAAAGTGAGCAACTGTCTTCACCACTGACACTAAGTCTAAAGCGGTTAGATAAGGTGCATCTATATAGCCACTGCTTGCATATATCAGAGATCAAGACTTCATTGTGCTAGGCATTGGTCAAAAGCATATTCAGATACAAACCCTGCCCCAACTTGCTCACAACCTACGGAGACAGATGGAGAACAGAGGTATGACAGATTAAATGATGTGTCTAAAAATCTGACAGAAAATCTAGGGTGGAGTCAGGAATCTGGTGCTGCAGGCATAAAACCAGTCCCCCGCACTTTATTATGGGCCAGCTTCAACTATAAAAACCATGCAAATGTCTCATCCTCGGCAAAGCAAATAATGTCTGTTGTTTCAGAGGGGGAATTTAATGTTGTAAAGACACAATGTGCTACATGAATCAACATCCAAGGGAATAGGTACCCTTGGGATCTAGAACGTAGGTAACCCAAGGGAAAAATACTGCGGAGTTGTACAATAAAACAGTTAACCTTTCAAAAATCACATCCCATTCACAGTGAGGTAGAACAATAGGCTTGAGCTCTGAACCTCCTCCCTTTAAAAGTCAATGGCAACACTCCCATTATCTTCAATGAGAGCAGGGTCAGGCCACTAATGGGTACATGTTAACACAGGCTGCAATGGTTTAATTCTAAGATCAAAAGGGAATCTTTTCATACCAAAAAAAAAGGTTGTGCAGGCAGGGATTAGAATTCTTGCCTGCAGCTGCCCTGTTTGGGTTACAATGCCATGAGGATCAGCGATCAGAACAACACAAAGCGGGAGGCTGCAGGAAGGGCTAGGAGCGAATTCATTAGAACTCACACAGAGCAAATTCATTTGCCCAGGTTTGTTATTATCGCCGAATTATTTGTTTGGAGGGACTTTGTGGGGGTTGCACATTTTTGCACTGTTAAAAACAGCGTCTCACTGGCACCTCTCCTTTAGAGTAATAATGGGGGGAGGGCGGGGGGAGTCATTTGTCCTTTGCAAAGAGCTGTGTTCAAAATTCTCTTTTCTATATGGACAATGAACCCTGTTGAGTGGCCTGTCCCTAGAGCGGATCAGAAAACAGAACACAAGCTGTGGGAATTACTTGTTTTTCATTAATGTTTCATTTTGATGAAAGTTTTCCCACCCATTTCTATCTGTCAGTAATAACAGGTCTCCAGCAGGAGTGATTCTGTACCTCCGTGTGGCTCCCATCCAGCAAAGCACTTACACCTATGCTCAGCTGTAAGCGTGAGTAGTCCCATTGAAGCCAGTGTTAAGAACCCGTGTCTTTTCTGGAACCAGAACCCACATATGCACCCTGCGAGCCCAGTCTTTGCTCATATGAATATTCACGGTGAACTTCTTTTAGGATGCTTCTATGCTTAAAGTTGAAAATAGGGACTCATATGTGCAGGACTGGGGCCAAAGTTCTTATACTAATATTAGCTTTTGTACAGTGCTTTCTTTTAGCAGAGCTCAAAGTGCTTTACCAAAGAGGTTAGTACCGGAGGTTAGTACCCAAGGCCACTCAACTGACAAGTAGCAGAGCCAGAGCCATGAATAGACTCCAAGCTATTTATCCACCTAGCTGCACTGCTGGTTAAAGACCCTCCCACTGGTCCATCCCCCTGCCTCTATTCCAGCTATTGCACTCTTGATACAATATATACATGTATTAAGACAGGACATCTGTTTCATGGTAGTAATAAGATTTTTTTTTAATCCCTCGGTGTTTATAACCTGACTGGAAGTTCAGTCAACTATATGAAAATAACTTAAGGAATCAAACACTCCCACCAAATCCACAATTGCATCACTCAAAACCAAAACCTAGAGATCTTTCAATGCACAAACAAGTAGTGGGTATGTGCTTGTACATGCACACAAATATATTCTGATCTAGCATTTGGACATGCACTTTTCAGACATACCCTTTTCTGCTATAAATTGATGTAGCTTCACTGACTTCAGTGAATCTGCAAAACGGTGCTGCCTGCAATTTACTGAACAACATTTTATATATTTAAAAGAGAGAGAGAGAGAGAGGATTTATTCCTATTCTGTTGTTTGAGTTAAGTGTATTTCAAGAAAGTCTACAAGGAATGCAGTTGATTTGATCACATTTCTTATAGGAATCAATTTTATTATAGCAGGATGAAATTACAATCGCTCAAATTGTGTATGCTATCATGCCATGCATGTCGAGATAATTTGTTTTGACTTAGTTTAAAATAATCATTTTTAGATAATAACACATTTTCCTAACAGTCAATTTTCAATATAACATCCTATTGCTTAAGAAGTGAATTTTTCAGACCCACCGTAGCTCTATATCACATTCTTTCTCCACAAGAATGAATAGAGGAAATGTGCATACCAGAAGAGCCCAAATGAAATAGCTTTAGAAACAATAATAGGTATGTTCTTATATAAACAGGTAGGTCTTTGTTCTGATCAAAGTAAGAGCTAACCATTCTGGGGCCGATTCTCAGCCGGCGTTGTTAGATTCTGCTTCACTGAAATCAATGCCGATTTACACCAACTGGGGGGATCTAACCCCTTTACCTGCCACTGTGACCGCTTCTTAATAAGAAATAAACAGGCCAAACAGGCTCCATTTCATTGATTTGATCAGGAAAGTGAATTTTCCCCATCCAGTTTTTCCATCCAGTTCCTACATTTGCACATGCAGCTTGGATGATACAAAAACAAAGAACACGCACATTCAAAATGAAAGGCCAGAGAGGAAGATTTGGTCGCTGGAAATGAATCAAAGCCAGAGATGCGTTTTCATGATGGGCTCAAATGTGCTGGGTGCTGTGACACTTAAACAGGGCAGCCCAGCTTTGCTTATAACAATGAAAGCTGATCACATGTCAGTCCCTTTCATTACTATTTAGCTCAGGCTCCCAGCTCAATGCACCTCCAATCAACCTTAGCAAAACCATTAGGGGAAAGGGATGACTAGCCAGGCAGCATATTTGATTCTTTGGGAGATCTGGACACGATGGCAGAAAATATACAGCATCTAACAAAAGTTCTGAACTGAAATGCAGTGGAAGCAATGCTGTGGGCACGTTTGCTTTGCCGTGAAGCCAATGAGAACTGCAGACGGTTGTGGCTGATCTCCCATAAATAAGCCAGGGGTTACGTATGAAAAATAGAAACAGTGATTTCTTTCTGTTAATGGATGGTTCAAGCACATACCTTAAAAATGAAGGTTTGTTTCATTGCACTGCAGCCCAATGTGCAACCCTTGTTCCATGCCTATTACCTGCTGCTGGAGGGGTGGGGGGTGTTATAAGGCAGGACACAGGAAACAGATCCAGGATGTAGTAATGTATCTTCACAAAAGGGAGCATAGATTAAGACTGAGCAGACAGATCCTGCTTTGAGGAGGAAGACAGTTCCCTCATCTGAAATAACAGAGGAGGAGACATCAGGCAAACAACTTTCAGCATGAGAAAATGCTTTGCCTGGAGTTGAGAGCCTACCAAAAAAAAAAAACCAGTGTTGAAAGAAAAATGTGGGTAAGCCATAGCTTGTAGTCTTTGCCGTCATATTTGCCCTTTACATGCCATGCTTCTAAAACCAAGAAAAAAATGAAACTTGACTGGCTCGGTGGCACGTCTACAGGTTCATTAATGCGCTTTTGGTAATGCACAATAAATTTAGTACCTCTGGGCATTTATACACATACACTGTCTGTTCTGATGTGCTGGAGATCTAGTGCGAAGGAGCAGACTCGATTAACCGAGCCCCACCTGCGTCGCCTGTATTTGACATACCAGCGCTGCGTTGCCTGTATTTGTATAGATGGCAAAATGCACATCAGTGCTAAGAAAATAGCAGCGGTGTGCTTTTGAACTAAAACACTTTCGATGTGTTAGTTCAAAAAGCATGCCGCTGCCATTTTCTCAGCACTGAAGCACATTTAGCCGTTCATACAAATGCACGTGCACTTTTAGAAGTGCACTATACCAGGCACTTTTAAAAGCACCTGGTGCTGCAGTGCAAGCATGTGTACAAATGCCCTCTATGTACCCCTAGCGAGGTACTAGAAAAAGGTATGTTAGCTTATTTCAATGTGCATTACCGAAAGTGCACTTTTTATGGTGCTTTACGGCACATTAAAATAGGCTAATGCGCATTAAACCACATGTATAGATGTGCCCAGTACGTGGCTGGGCATAAACTGTATTTCATTGATTTGCCAAAATTAATTCTTCCATTTAATGGGCATTGCTGTTCCTCAGCAAAGCAAGAAGATAAATTAGAGAACAAAAGTCTGCTCAATATTACCAACAAAAAATGAACTATTAATTCCCGCTCAAAGAAAAGGGAGAAGGAACACTATCTGTGCTCTATGAAGATAAGAACTGAAATACAGCTGAACTGTTATGTGAAACCAAGGTTAGGTTATTTAAAAAATATATGTATTTAATGACCATATGCAAAACAATCTCACATGTGATTATAGTCATTTTATGTGAAATTCCAATAAAACTCAAATTATATTTCAGAGGAGGCAGAAGACTGTTGCCTTTGGTCCAATAGCCAAGAAATCAAAAGAAGTTAATAAAGGGATAATGGTGAGGGACTTCTGTTGTTTGAAATTATCTGCATGCAATAACTTATTAATGCCATAATATTCCATTAAGAGCTCATTATTTCTTTGTTTGTGTGATGCTAGGAATTATCAGGGGTAATGTTTGTCCACCACACAACACAGCAGAAAATGAAAAGCTGCTGGCCCTGTCCTTAAGTTCCATATGCAAGCTCGGAGTTCGGATAAGGGGAAATATTTGCATTTTTCTTCCAGTGCCCTATGTCTCAACAAATAAAAATGCACAACAAACAACCTCAAGTAACTGCTGAGCCCACTGAAACGGGGTCATTATACATGTCTTAGAGTTCAGGTACATGAGGCTTGGGGCTAAACCTGTTGGGGCTAAACCTGTTTGATGTGCCAGTGAGAGCTGTAGACAAGAAGCAACTGAAATCTTCAGTTTCTGTCAGTTCCATGTTCATTCAAACACTCTGAATGAAAATATAAGATTGTTACTTGCTCTATGGACCCACAGCAAGCTGTCAAGGGAGGAACTCCTTTAGCCATACCCAGTGGGTTTTAGAGATAAGAGCAAAATCTGCAAAACCATTATTTGTATCTCTCCTCCTAGGCATGTGGATGGGGAATAGGTATGTAAAGGTGCTGCTTTCCCCACTGAGTTGGAACCTGCTGGGCCCATATCCCACATGGGGAGTGGAGAAAGAAAAATAGCCCACACTGAGTAATGAATGCCCCAGTTTCATGTCCTTGGGTTCCCAACCAGAGAACAATGTTGATCATTAAGGCTAACTACAGACAGTCAAAAAGCCGGAGGATGAATTGAACTAATAAACAAGTGAACAGACATTCACTTTTGATTCTGGAACTGCAGCCACATGCCTGCAGTGGCCCAGGCCAGAAGCCAGGGGGGTATGCCTCCCTGCTTGGCTGGAGCAGACAGCCTGGGCCAAAGCTAGCCGGCCCACTCTGTGAAGGGGGAGCTTTGTGGTGGAGGTGCAAAGCATCCTGGGATGCTGGGGGACTGTGAGTTAACTTAAATCTGGAGGGGATCTGGGACAGAAGTTCAATAAACCATTTTAACCTAAATCAGTTAAGTCTGGTACTACATCCATCCAGGTTTATTTTAAACTGGTTTGGGCCATTTTGAAAGTGGTTTATGTGCACTGAACTTCTGTTGTGTTACAGATTTGAACTGGTTTCTGATCACTTGTATTGGTTTATGTGTAATTTCTGTCCCTAGCCAATCAGATTCCTCCAGTGCTGGAGTTAGAAAAGAGTAAGGGGAGAGAATAGCAACACGAAGGGATATAAACAGCTGCCTCCCTGAAAGCAGAGGTTAAGTTTGTTGGTTGGTGAACATTGGCTGGTTGTTCTGCTTGTTTAGTTGTGGTGGACATGTAGGTTACTCAATATGGAAACACGAAGAATCCCTTGAGTTGTTTACATGTTTGGTTACATGGAACGAGGACACTTTGGATTATAGCACCCTGTCATCACAAATTGGAAAGTGTTTTGCCTGAGAAGCACTGAGCATTTTTCAAAGAGAAAATTAGTTCACCCTGTATCCATAGCCTATCATAGAACCATAGAAAATGGGAGTTGGAGGAGACCTCAGGAGGTCATCTAGTCCAACCCCCTGCTCAAGCAACTAGATCATCCCAGCCAAGGCTTTGTCAAGCCAGGCTTTAAAAACCTTCAAGTTTGGAGATTCCACCACACGTCTAGGTAACTTCTTCCAGTGCTGCACCACTCTCCTTGTGAGAAAGTTTTTCCTAATATCCAACCTAAACCTCTGTTACTGCAACTTGAGACCATGGCTCCTTGTTCTGTCATCTGTCACCACTAAGAACAGTTTAGCTCTGTCCTCTTTGGAGCTATCCTTCAGGTAGTTATCAAATCCCCTCTCAGTCTTCTCTTTTCCAAACTAAATAAACCCAATTCCCTCAGCCTCTCCTTGTAAGTCATGTGCTCCAGCCCCCGAACCATCTTTGATGTTCTCCGCTGGACTCTCTCCAACTTGTCCACATCCTTTCTGTTGTGGGGCCCAAAACTGGACACGGTACTCCAGATGTGGCCTCACCAGTGGTGAACAGAGCAGAATAATTGCTTTCCTTGATCTGCTGGCAACACTCCTACTGACACAGCCCAGTATGCTGTTAGCCTTCTTGGCAACGAGGGCACACAGTTGACTCATATCCATCTTGTTGTCCACCGTAAACCCCAGGTCCTTTTCTGCAGAGCTGCTCCTTAGCCAGTTGGTCCCTAGCCTGTTCTGGTACGTGGGATTGTTCCTTCCTAAGTGCAAGACTTTGTACTTGTCCTTGTTGAGCCTCATGAGATTCCTTTTGGCCCAATCCTCCAAACTGTCTAGGTCACGCTGAATCCTAGCCCTACCCTCCAGTGTATCTACCCCCAGCTCGGTGTCATCCACAAACTTGCTGAGGGCGCAATCCATCCCATCTTCCAGATCATTAATGAAGATATTGAACAAAACCGGATCCAGCACCAACCCCTGGGGCACTCCATTTGGTATCGGCTGCCAGCTAGACATTGAGCCATTGATTACTACTCACTGAGCTTGACAATCCGGCCGGCTTTCTATCCACCGTACAGTCCATTCATCCAACCCATACTTCCTCAGCTTGCTTGCAAGAATGCTGGCCTATGAATGGTGAGGTGTAGCACCAGGCAGAATAATGCCACCAACCAAGAGGAAGTAGCATATTTCCTGAGAGCCACATGAGACTGAGAAGATTACTATCTCAGAGAGTTTGGACAATGCACATCCTTCTGCCTCCAAAAGAGTAGTACAGGGAAGCAATAGGACCTGCTCTTCCTGGTTCCTCGCACCAGGATTCCCTGGTGTCCTTTTACCCCACACGAGCACTGAAAGAAGCAGAGGATAAGAAACAGCCATGCACAATGTGCTTAAAGCATCCCGTGTCTCTGCTCTCATTCAGACACACATTAAATGTTAAGACTCACATTTAATTAGGCATGCCAAGCTGAAAAGGCTGTTGTCCATTATAGCAAACCTCTTAAAGCAATTAGTGATAGATTTAGGGAGTTACTGCTCTGCCAAAAGTGCCAACAAAAGCTTTAGAGCAGGACATGCTGGTGCTAGTGGCAATACAGATCTATCGATCGATCCAATCCAGCAAGCACTAACACATGGGTGCACCTTAAGGCATGGGTGGTGTTCCACTGAAGGAATAAGACTTGGCCTATTTATGCTCCTTGCTGGAATTAGACTTTTACATTTGACGGGGGGCAGCAGAGGAGCAGTAGCTAGTGCTAGGAGCCACAATCATGTGCTGCCTAATCCCACCCCAAGACAGCTCCATTCTGTGCCCACATCTGTACTTAGAAATAGCAATGCAAGGTGACGGAAGAAATAAAGAAATTAAAACAACTCTACTTTATTAACATCCCTAGGTAGTATGGGGAATCAAAGGACTCCTAGAGGCCGTGAAAAGTTAACAGATTCTCTAACTCTTTTTTCCCCCCTTGACCTCAAAATGGCATCTGATCATCAAGAAGACATGTCAATGGAAGACCACAGCAGTTGTGAAGGACCAAGACAAGCCCTAGGCTGCTTTAAAGTGCATTGTCTGGATCATGTGGCCCTGGTACCGTGAGAAACATTTGCAAGAGGTGAAAGTTGGAAGCCACTGGGGTACTGAAGACAGTTTCCATCTCTTGGTTTGTTATTAGGTTAGAGTATTTGGACAGTCCTTCCTATAATTTTGGTCTAATGTAGGTATTTCAGTATTTCCACGTTCTGCTCCACCCTCACCCCCTTGTTACAGTGATGTTTGTTGACAGCTTCATGGTTTTTCAAACTTATTAGAAACTGGTTTAAACCTCTAACAGAACAGACATTCAGTGCACATAAACCAGTTTCAAAAAGGCTGAAATTGGTTTGAGATAAACCTGGTTGAATGTAGTACCAGACTTAGCTGATTTGGCTCAAACTGGTTTATGCAATGTCTGTCCCAGACCATGGTCTACTTCATAGGGTGATGGAACATGAACGGTATGTATGGGGACAAAATGAACAAAATATAGATTTCTGTTTCCCAACTCCTTTCTTGTTAAGTGAGCTTCAGGGTTGTTGTTTTTTTTTAAATGATAATTTCTAGGAATTTTTGAGGCCCGCTATAGGTAAATTTCAGACCTGATGTGGAAGTGCTGTCTGAGGAGTCTATTAGAACTGGTGCTAAAAGGGAAGAGGGAGGGATTTCTTCACTCCTCGTGAGCTGGTATATGGTTATGTTTGTAAGAAAACCAAATCTTTGAAAGCCTGGGCAGTGCTATTAAAAGCCTGAGGCATCTAAAGTGTCTTAGCAATCTGTTCTTTCCCTCCCAAACCTCTCTAGTGATGCCTTATCTATGCCCTACTGTTCACAACTGGACCAGTTCGAAATGCAATTTTTCTTCATCCGGGACTCAGCTTTATACAAGAACATGAGCTCAAAACATACCTGTGTTGACTTGTGAGAAGGTGCTAGGGGTAAAGGGTTGAGTAGACCTATGACTAAACAGAAATAAAGACAAAAAGCATTGAATTGATCATCTTGAATCAATTAATTGAGCCTCTCTGTACTTCTCTGCAGTGGGCCTAAAATGCAATGCCCAGAAGTATAAGTGACTTGCCCAGATCTCCAAGCAAATCGGTGGGAGAATTCAGAAATTCCAGTTCTCGGGCGATGTCAATAGCAGTTTTACCTTCAAGAACAGCAGCAAGGGCCCGGAATAATTCTTTGCGATTAGGTGTGAACACGTGCCTAGGAACGCACATGCAAATAAGGTCTTTTGTACTGCGAGGTCAGCTCCAAGCTGTATTTCAAGTGAAATACTGCAGAAGTGCAGCTTGCTTAATAGCAGTACAGCAACCTAAAGAGCTGTATGCAAATGCCTGCTCCACTTCTCTGAAGTATTCCCTGTCGGCAGACTGCCAGGTTCACCCTGAGCCCCGCTGAAGTCAAAGGCCTGTCTGCTTTGGAGAGCTTAGATGATCAGGGCCTGCTCACCTCGATATTTTTAGAGCCATTTCTCACCTTGGCAAAGCAGATGCTCCCATTGTTAAAAATGACAGGAGGCCTTTAGAACAAAATGCTGCCTTTAACCTCTCTGAGGTTTGCTCTGAGGTTCAAGGAGAAGAGCGCAATGATTTAACTGTGCTATATCCAGGAATGTGATTCTTTCATAGCTCACGTGGCACGTAAATATAAGTCAATACATTCAGTTTCTGTGTAAAAGGCAGCAGGGGATGGGTATTTTATCTTATTAATCATATTACAGTCAGACAGGGCCCTGGACAACTGCCCTCCCCCAAAAAGGCAAAGAAAGAGAGCACTATTGTCCCCACTTCCCAGATGGAAGACTGAGGCAAAGAGAGAGTCAAGTGCCTTGTCTTTGCTCATGTACAAAGCTTCCAGCGGAGCTGGCAACTGGACCCAGAATCAAGTCTCAAAATCTCCTTCCCCCTTATTTAACTCAGTAGAGACAGCTTTCAGCGTCTCTCCTAGACGCAGAGTGCTCTTGAGCGTCTAATCTCATTTGCCATCAAACTATCTGGCCATCAAAGGATAGCCGGTGCAGCTAATGTAACCAGAGGGAAGGATTATTACACTGCAGTCCATTGAAAGATGATTACAGTCCAGAGGACCTCAGATTAAAACTAAAGATTGGGGAGGAACAGAAGCGGAGCTGTACAATTTGACCTTGTTCGGCAGAGGGGGGTGAGGGAAAGAAGTAGATTTGCTTTAGAAAATGCCGTCTCCCATCCAGACAATGACATAGCAGAATTCATGTTCCCGAGTCTAGGCAGTCAGACTGTACTAATACTTTGCAATGCTATTAGCATAGATTTTTTTTTTTTGCAAACCTTTGAGAAACAGACGCCCTCTCCTTGCCCCACTTGGAGCTGCAGTAGAATGAGAGAGAGGGGAGGGTGGGGGGAAAGAAAAGGGCTTTTGGTTGAGGTTTTCCTGTTACTATCACTGTAGCATTTATTTAGCCAATCTCTTAACTGTGACGTCTGGAAGGCTGGATTCATAGCTCGCTCATAATATTTAACACACCCACCGAAGGCTGGAGCTGCAGCGCTACTAGTCCAACCAGTCTCCAGCATTCAGTGGAGCTGAAAGGGGTTTTCACTGTGCACCTGCCAAAGATCTCTCTCTCCTCCCCGCCTCTGCTTGCTTTCTTTTCTCTTTCCTTTCCTTCCTTCCTTCCTTTCTCTTTTTAAAGGACAGATCTGTAAGCGCAGGCAGTGATCAGAGACCGGAGCTCGCTTCCTAGGAAGAACCGCTGCTGATTTCTCCTGCTAGTTTCTCTCCTCTCCTCTCCCTCCTTCCGAGCCCATCTCCGCCGCGCTGCAGCAGTGCTACCCGGCAGTCCGGAAGCCAACAAGCCCAAGCCCGGGCAGACAATCCCAGGCAACCCCGCTCGGATACAGCAGCCACCTGGATGTGATCCTAGGTGCCAGACCCCAAGCCCGGGATGCGATGGATGAAGAAGCCGGATCCAGCCTGAGAAAACCCTTCTCCAGCCAATGTTTATAAACAGTCTAGCAGAAGAGAGAGAAAGCAAGAGAGAGAGGGAGGGGGGGTCCCACTGCATCACTGCTCCATCTCAAAGGATAGCAAGCAGCGTTTTCAACCCAGCCAGATCTTGTGGATGATTTTTTGTTTTGTTTCGTTTGCCCTTCTTCTCTTGAAACCTTTTTTTTTTTTTTTTTAATTATGATGCTGATTGTTTCACAGGTTTGATGAATGTGATGCCTCCTCGGCTATATTTTTTTTAGCTCCATCAGATGTGCGCGTCTCTTGTTGCAGCCCGAGCCCTCCCTTGCCTCTCGCTCCCACGAGCCCCGTACCACCAGCACCAGATCCAGGTGTGAACAGATGGGTTTACAAATCGGCATGCCGTCGCCGGGGTTTTCCTATTGATTTGAAGCACTCGATTCCTCCTATAGCTATCTATCTATCTATCTAGCTATAATTATTGTTATTATTTTGGCTGAGCTCCACGATTCAGCCCAGAGACATGAGGACCTATGGCTCTTAGACTCTCCCTGGCCGGTGCCGTACTGACTCGATCGCTTTTTGGTTGCGGTTGATCCCAAAAGGAAAGAGAGGGGGGGAGGGAGGGGAGAAACAAAACAAGAAAATAAAAAGGAGAGGAAGGATTGACCCTCGATAAGCTTTTTCTGTGAAAGAGCCCTGTGCAACCCCCCTCCCCCCAGCCTTCCTGAGCCACCTTGACCATGAAGATGCTCTTGGTCCGCAAGTTCCGCGTGCTCATCCTGATGGTGTTCCTGGTCGCCTGCACCATGCACATCATGATCGACCTGCTCCCCAAGCTGGAGAAGCGGGCGGCCAAGGCGGGCTGCTCCTGCTCCCACGGCGCCGACGAGGAGGCGGCGGG